ACAGAGTCTCACTCTATTGACCCGGCTAGAGTGCCATGGTATCAGCCTAGCTCACAGCAACCTCAAACTCCAGGTTCAAGCAGTCCTCCTGCCTCAGCCTCTTGAGTAGCTGGGACTACATGTGCCTGCCAAGATGCCCAGCTAACATTTTCTATCTTTAGTAGAGATGGGGTCTCAATCTTGCTGAGGATGGTCTTGAACTCCCGAGCTCAAGTAGTCCTCCCACCTCAGCCTCCCAGGAGCTAGGATTACAGATGTGTGCCACCTCACCTGGCCACACTTAGTGACTTTTAAGAGGAAAAATAGGGAAAACCTTTTGTTTGTGTATAGTGCTGCAGTCAGCTTTTAAAGATTCACCAAGATCTCTATTTTCAAGAAGCTAGCTCAGTGTTCATTATAAACTTTCCACAGTTATATAGCCTTCCTGTATCTTCATGGCATTGTTCATTTTCATTTTTCCTTTCTTTTTCTGTCTTTGTGTTTTTATTTTTAATTCTTTGCTCCTTGGTTCAGAAGCATTGTCCACTTTCAAATTTACTTTACCAGTTAATTTGATTTTGAGGTAATTCTAGGAAAAAAGAAGATACTTTAGTAGAGTTTTTAAAAGGCGAAAGATTTATACGATCTGAAGAGAAAGCAGAGTATTGTAGTAGAGTTTTTAATGATTCTACTTATACTAACTCCAGGAAGAAATTCTGTATTTTTGTCCTTTTAAAGGTAAAATATATTGATTGGCACTATTGTGAGTGAGATGGTGAATGGTGGATCATACATTCTTGTAATGAGTTAACTAAGGCACAGAGTTATGTTTTGTAAGGACAATGTCATAATGTGACTTTCTTAGTGTATCCTTGGAAGATGGACACCAGAAGAGATTTGAGTCAGATTGTGTCTAAAGAGGCCTTTCTAAAACCTGGTTCTCCTCTAGTGTGGTGGAAGAGGAGACACGAAGATCCCAGCAAGCTCGGGATAAACAGAGCCCCAGCCAGGCCAATGGCTGCAGTGAGCACAGGCCCATCGACATCCTGGAGATGCTGAGCAGAGCCAAGGATGAGTACGAGAGGGTGAGGCTCTCTGGGTGCTGACCAGGGAAGACCAAAAGGGGAGGAGGCCTGCGGGAAACTTATGGACTAGGGGAGTCATCTTTAGGGCCAGCAGAAATAATTAGTTCAAAAAGAAAGTACATCTTAAATGTCTTAGAATTTTAAGCCTAAAAAATAAGGAAAGAACTCTGCTTACCTCAGAGTACTTATTCTGGCAGGAAATTTTACAATGTTCTTTTTCTATTCTTATAAAATTATTATAGGAGAAAATGGTCTTAGAATACAAAAGTTAGCCCACAGCAAGCACATAGTTCCAGAAAAGCTGTGGCCTCTTAACTCCTACAGTCTCTGTTTAGGTGGTTGGTAGATTTAGAAATTTTTATAGGCTTTGGAAAGTAGTCTAATAATTTGTACCCCATAATACTAAAAGGTACATTTATGGTCTGGAATTGATATTAGGTGTATAGCCTTCATTAAGCATCACAATTTTAAGTTTTTCTGAAATTCAGTGTTTTCTTTCTCTTCTCTTTTACATTTTAGTTTATAAGTTAACTGATAACATGCTCTCCCAAAAGTTGAATAAAATGGAAATTGTGATGCATTAGTGAATTTATTCACCACATACTTACAGACTGTCCACAATGTGCCAACCACTGGACATTTCATGACAGTGTCTTCAAACTTTGTGCCTGTGGAGCTATCTTGGCTTTTTCTTGGCACCTCACAGCCCCATGAGTCATTAGCGTGAGACTAAAGCTTTCTAGTGATCCACTGTGTTGCCGCAGAGTTCTTCTTGTCACCTTGATCTCCATTAAACATTGGGTTAAGTGTTTTCCTTTCTATTTCATCCTCACCTCACCAAAATGTCAAGAAACAGACTGAAAACACTAAGACCCTGTTGCCCAAATAATTCCACTGTAACATTAGCTTCTAGGTTTTTAATAGATGATCCTTTAAAAAGTTTCAAATTGGTCGAATGGGTCAAGGAAATATTAACATGACTCCACCACCCCTCCTCTTTGTGGGACTTTACAGTGCTTAAGACAGAGAAGTCCCACAATAAATCAAACAGTAACATCAGTTCCAAATT